CACAAACCTAGCAACTTAAAACAACACATACTTATTATCTCACAGTATTAGAGGGTCAGGATTTCAGTTGTAACTTAGCTGGGTCCTCTACTCAGGGGACCCAGGGCTACAATCAAGGTATTGGCTGGGCTGTGTTTTCATTTGGAGGTTCAAATGGGTAAGGTCTGCTTTCAGACTCATTCTGTTTGTTGGCAGGAATCATTTTTTTGCAGTTGTAGGACTGATGACTTTGAACTCTTACTGGCTACCAGCTGAAGGCCTCCTTTAAGATCTAAAGGCCACCCATAGTCCCTGCGGTTCATAATGTGGCAATTTGCTTCTTTTAAGCACAGCAGGAGGGTCTCCCTATGCATCTGCTAGCAAGACAGGTGTGTGTGTGTGTGTGTGTGTGTGTGTGTGTGTGTGTGTAATAATAATGGGATTGATATCCTATCCCCTTTGACATATTTTTGGTCAGATTGCTGGGAGGTCACCTTAGGGTCTGTCTGCCACAACCCCATTAGAACTGAAAAATACTTAGACAGTGACTTAGAGTTAGATATAAGTTATTTTTATCACTTTTCTGGAGTCTAGTTATCTTAAAGAAAGTTTGTAATTCTCTAAACAAATCTATTTTTGTTCCCCTGTTAAAAAAAAATAGGAGCCATATAGCAATTCTTGAGCAAGGCCTGGGGAAGCTGCAGGACCCAGAAGGGTGAAGAAGGTTAAGTAGGAGAGAGAACGACTGACCTCAAGCACATTGAAGAGGTCAAAAGTCCAAAAATCTAGATATCACTGGTTGTTGGTTTGTGTTTACCTGTTTTGTGATTTATTTTGCTTTGATTTTTCACAAATATTGGAAACTATATGTGTTTCATCTGTCTTTCCATTCAAAATGTGCTATTATCACCAACTTCAAAGTTCATACAACTACCATGGATATCCTTTAGCACAACACCTAAATTCTCTGAAGAGGTAAGCCTGCTTTTGGCTTCAGAAATTGAACACAGGAATGTAGTTTACCATCTGTCTGAAACTTTTAAAGTAACTTTTTTCCAAGAAAAATGTGGATTATACGCAACAAACAGAATTTTCTGGTCTCAGAACAGGAAAAATAAAGGAACCTTAAGTATTATTTTAAGTACTTTGTTTGCTAGTAGTGTTTGTGGTGAATGAAAAATTGATCCTTAATTGTGTGGGAAACAGAGAAGTGATCTGCATGGCAATGGCCATGTACAGACATCAGAGACTTCGTAGTTTTGAAACTGATATTTATGAACATCTGCTTTTTCCCCGTAAATTTTAATATGGATTGTATCCTTTGAAACTCACAAAACTCCCAGGTGCTTCTTCAGTCTTTATCTTGGAAAACACACTTTTAAAAGAAAGTCTTCTTTTTTCCATTGAACATATTCAAAATCATTTTTGTCTAAACAATATTCCTAGATATATGGCACCTATTGGAATGCCTGCGATATGGTATTAAAGGTTAGCAACCCAAAATCTTGCAATCACCATGTCAAACCTCCAAAATGTCCACCCCCAGAACACAAGCCATAATAGTCTTAATAGAGGGTGCTGGAAAGTATCCATTTCTAGGCCCAGGGCATGCCTTTTGTTATTACACCAATATTTGTTTAGTGCTTGCTATGTAATAGGCACTTTTAGGTGCCAAGTTTATAGCAGCCAACATAACAGACAAAATATCTGTCCTCATTGTGTTTATGTTCCAGGGAGTGTAAATGTTCTCTTTAAAAATTCCCTTTAACTTTTTGTAATATCCTTTATATAGTTCATTAGTAAAAAAGCTTTGTGCTGGGTCTACAAACCAATGCTAATCCATTAATGATGCTGAACTGGACTCCGGGAGTATTGTGAAAAAAAAAATAGACATGTTTCTGTTCTCAGTGAACTCATAGTTGGACATACTTCTCACCTCTGTCAAAAAATTTAGAACTGAGAATTAGGAGCTTTGGGATGCAATCCGGGTAGCCATTTGATCATTTTCTATTTAGATCCCTTATAAGCAGTGCAAACAGTGCCTACGCCCCTCAGCCTTGACAATTCTAAGAACTGTTCCTATACAGAGAGAAAATAAGAGTGTGTTGGCTAAAGGAAAGGAAACAAAATCACAGCTCAACAGAGCACAAACATGTGAATTGACTGGGTACATGCAAGGCCAACAAGAACATTAAGTCCCTCTTAGGAGGAGGAGCCTTTTAAGAATGCAGTTTCTGGTCATCCTATACCAAAGGATACAAGTCATTTACATAATAGGAAAGCCTCAGGAGGACAGTAGAGCTATTTAATTTGGTTAGGCTAATAGTTTTCCATCCATTTGCAGTCTAACCGAACCTCTCTCCCTGCCTCTTAAAGAGGAACGCATTGGCTTGGTGCCACGGGGCACATAAAACGTGCAGTCTTCTTGGAGTGTCAATTCTACTCAACCATTTGGAGGAAAAAAGTTAATTAATTTACTGATAAATAATGTAATGCATTATCTTCCATTAAAACCAATTCAGGCCAAGCATGGTGTCTCATGCCTGCAATCCCAGCCCTTTGGGAGGCCAAGGAAGGTGGATCACTTGAGTTCAGGAGTTGGAGACCAGCCTGGCTAACATGGCAGCACCCCGTCTCTACTAAAAATACAAAAATTAGCCAGGTGTGGTGGCAGGCACCAGTAAACCCAGCTGCTCGGGAAGCTGACACACGAGAATCACTTGAACCCAGGAGGTGAAGGTTGCAGTGAGCCAATATCGCACCACTGCACTCCAACCTGGGCAACAGAGTGAGACTCTATATCAGAAAAAAAAAAAAAAGTAAAAATTAAAAAAAAAAATCAATGCAGCTTATATTAGGTAATAGAATGCAAAATTTGCATACACTTTTAGGATAAAGCATAAGAACTAAACAGTGCTGGAGCCAAGGTCTGAGGGATTAAGCCCCACCCCCATATTTTCCATCAGCTCCCTGTAAAGCCAACATAATACATATAATATGTATATATGTATGTGTGTGTGTGTGTATATATATATATATATATATTTTTTTTTTTTTGAGACAGAGTCTTACTCTGTCACCCAGGCTGGAGTACAGTGGTGCAATCTCGCCTCACTGCAACTCCTGCCTCACAGGCTCAAGTGATCCTGTCACCTCAACCACCTGAGTAGCTGGGACCACAGACATGTACCACCATGCCTGGCCAATGTATTTGTATTTTTGGTAGAGACAAGGTTTCGCCATGTTGCCCAGGCTGGTCTTGAACTCCTGAGTTCAGGCAATCTGCCTTCCTCCACCTCCCAGAGTGCTGGGATTATAGGCATGAGCCACCACGCCTGGCCAATAATATTTTTTGATGTGGATAATTCTTTCTCAATTTTGTATAAAATGTAAATCCCCCAGCAGCATGTCTTCCAACCACATTGCCACTTGGATATCCCTTCTTTTTAGAAAATCTGGAGCCACTGCTAGATGCAAGAAAATTCTGGGCCATTTCAGGCTCTGACACCTCAAACCCTGAGACTCAGCCCTGGGGTCTGTGCTCACTCCCGCTGCATTTATGAATACTCTCATGGAAAAGTTTAGCTGAATGCTTTTTTTAAGGTCGGTCAAGAGAAATTTTTTTCAATGCTGCCTCTTAGTCCTTAGTACTGAGATTGAGCATTGACCATCCTGATCCACATCCCCTTCTCCCAGTCTTGGAATGTTAGGTAGCAGGCAGAGCAGCTTATGTTCTTTGTGCTTGTGTTCCTGACACAGGATCTGGACCAGGTGCAGCTCCATCTGGAAGAAGTGAGGTTCTTTGACGTGTTTGGCTTCAGTGAAACAGCAGGAGCATGGCAATGCTTCATGTGCAACAACCCTGAAAAAGCAACTGGTGAGAGACCCCTACCTGCTGATAAGAACCATTTGTGCCCCGCTTTACAGGGATCTGTCAGCTCCATTGTTCTAGGTGACTTTCCTCTTACATAAACATCCCCAGTTGTAATAATGCCCAGAGTCATGTCCCTGCTTTGTGCTGAGAAAGGCATCTCACCAAAGTGGTCGTAGGATAAAAGGAAAACTTTGGGAGGCAGAGAAGCAATCCCTCACCTATATGTGGTTATCAAGGAAGCAGTATCAGTCATTTTGCCCTAAAAGTATTCATTTCATCCAGATGACCCTGAGGGTTAGAGAGAAAAAAGTGTTCTGTCAAGCTGTGTTCCTTGAGGAAATGAGACCACACTAAATGACTGAATCAGCACACAGACCACGTTTTCTTATTTAATCCCTAACACTGTTGCTTGATGATTAAACTGTGTAAAAAGTGAAGCATTAAAATAGTAAGAAATTGTCTGAGAAATAACTTCATAGCTGGTTATTCATTTTCCACTTCCTTTCTGCTGCTCAAGGTATTTGGTCTACTGACCTTGCCTAAAAATACAAGTCATGCCCTATGCTAAACGTATCAGATACCTTATCTCATTTAATCAGTCCTTGCAATACTCTTATGAGGAAAATACTGATATTATCTCTGCTTTACTGATGAGGAAACTGAGGCACAGAGAGGTGTGGTAACTGCCCAAGGTCATGAAGATTAATTAACAGCAGCAGAATTTGAATGCAGCCTGACTCTAGAACCCATGCTCTTAACCATTTCACCATTCTGCCTCCGGGTTACACTTGGCTCAATCCAACCAGTGGAAACAGGTTGCTAATAAGCCTATGTCCAAAAAGTTATGCTGTCATTGGAAGTGAAATATTTCATCACTAGTGTGCCCTTTGAGAGGAGAGAGCTCAGTGCTGACACAGCTCAGAAACTGCATTTTGGACGACAAGAGCAGTGTTAAAAAGACTGTTGAACACAAAGCCACTTTGTAGATGAGCCATCCTCTAGACAGCCATTGATTATACCACCTGTACCTGGTCCTTTAATTTTAGGATTTTATGCATCTTCAAGATTACCCATTGTGGCAAGTCTGTCCTCTTGTTAACTGCCAGGATGTTGAGGCTGAATCAAAAAAGTATGTTTATTTGGCCAGATGGAGATGTGTAGGGCTCTCAGAGAAGTACCAATTAAAATGTATTACCCCACGGAAAAGATGCGGATGGCAGAAGCTGGCAGTTAGGACGCCAGGCTTTGTGAAGCACAGATTGTTGGCTGATTACAGAGTCTGGATTGAGCCAACGCCAGAGTGAACACCCCAATTTTTTAAAAGTTAATTCAAACAAATAAGGAATTGGGGAATTGACTGTCTCCATTATAAAACTTTCCAATTAGACCTTATTTTATATATGAAAAAGACAGAGCATAAAAGAAACCTTATTTGAGAGCTAGTAAAATAAGGTACTTACCTTAGGTAGCTCTGAGAGGCCCTGAAGAGTTTTCACTCCGAGTAAGCTGAGTTCTTAGTTCAATAAATATTTAATCATATCTGGCCAAGGGAGGCCTCAGAAAAGGGGCTGAAAGTTAAAAACACAAAGTGTTCCTTTAATATATGTTTTCTCAAATTCACTGCCATGCTCTTGAAATAAACGTTCTGCACATTCACTCTTTCTTATTTGTGTTCCTCATAGTTAAATATGGACTGAGAACATATAGCAATAAAAATTCAAACAAGGTCAAATATTTTATAGCACAACATATTGAATCAAAATGTTTGGCCCTGAAAACTTCAGTGGGTTTGGATTTCTTTGCTCATTTCCTTTTGCTACATGAAAGAGGATTTGAGTTTGAGAAAAGTCCTATTTTAAACTGTTTTTCTTTTTCCACCAAAACCCTTGACTCCCTGGATAGTTTATATAGGTTGTTGATTTCATCTTCTTTTTTATATAAGCACTTAAATTATATATTTAATCTAAGTGAAAGGTCTAACATAATACTGTTGCCAAATATATTTCTCATGGAGACGGTATTTGCATTCAAGTTCTGCTTAAATTCAAAGTTTAAAGATGAGACATAGCAACAAATACTTTATTGGTCATGCACAGCTAGCGTATTACTTGCGTCCAATTTTTCATTTATGCAATGCATGTTTGTTGCATTAGTTGAGTGTCTTCTACAGGCTGACCCTTGGGATAGAAATAGGAATAAGGTACAATGTCTCTGCTCTAAAAGAAATTCATAATCCAGTTAGGGCCAAAAGGTGTATTCAAAAAAAACTAGCATTCTTCTTTTATGTTTTTAGCATGCTATATTTGTTGAGTGAGTGAATGAATGAATGAATAGTATTTTTAAAAGGCAATGTCAAATATTCCTTGAATGTTAAAATGTAATGTTTTAAGATTGTGATTATATGCTAACAATATCAAATTCATCACTATACCATACCCAATGCATTCTGAACCTGGTAAATGGAGATTGGGGCTGTTTCTCCCTAAGAGAAGTCGCCACTTGTAAAGCCTTGATCCCCTTACCTGCCTGTCTTAGCATCTAGAATGTACTATGCCCTACTGAGTACTATGTACTGGTCTGGGTTTCATCAACACCCACACAGGGGCCAGATGCCCTATCAGCCTCAGGGAGAAGGGGTCCAAAAGAAGTAGAATTGAAGTCCAGAACAAAAGGCCAAAGAAACTGGGTTTTTTCTATTTTTTAAAAGAATTGACAAATGATACAATAATTGTTTTCAAGTATTCACGTTTCAATATTTTTTAATGCTGTCCAGCATCTCCATAAATGAGGAACAAAACATGAGACAATTAGAGAATTTCAGTTAGACATTAGGAAAGACATCAAGAAATATATAATACTTCTTAGTAGTGTGTAGACTTAGCCAGAGAAATCCTTCAGAAATTGACAGTATCTCAGCTTACTGACATGGTCAACTCACATACATTCCCGTCTTCGAGTAAAAGTCTCATCACCATCCTCCCACCAACTTCACTATCAACACACAGAAATTCACAGGAGTTTAATATCTGGTGATCAATAAAATATTTTTATCCAACAAAGTACAGATAGTCAGAGGAAAGTAAATGCTAAACTAATGTAGAGGCCCTGACATGATGATCATTGTTAGCATTCATCATTCTAATGATATGCTAAGTTTGCATGCATTTTTCTCATTTTCTTACCATCACTGACTTCATTTTACAGATCAGAAAACTGAAACACAGAGAGATTAAGTAATTTTCCCCAGGTCACACAGCTTCTCAGTGATGGAACCAGTATTTTAATCCAGACAGGACAATTCCAGAACCTGATTTTTCAACCTATAGGGAAAATTCAAGTTAAGGACACAAAATATTGGAAATTCCAAGAGCAATCATTCAGTAATGTTATAATATATTATACAGACCCAGAGACAAGTTTAATTTTTTAGAAGTGATCTACTTCCTTGATGACTTACTCTGCTTAAAGAAGAACAGAGACTTTGGTATGATAATGTGTGAGAAATTATTACTTGCAGGAAATGATTACAATAGAATCTATTTCCTATTCTTCCAACTGCTGAATCAGTTTCTGATAATCATTTTATAAAAGTTCAGAGTGGAAGATTAGAAAATCTCTGAAATAACTCAATAATCCTCAGAGACTTGCCTGGTGGTGTTTATTGCAGATCTCGTTATTCCACATGAATGAGAGAATGGAGATTGAGCAAGTAGATTGAACAGAACAGAACTTATTTCTGGAAAACCAAGCTAATCTTCTTTATCAGTTGCCCTTGTGTCTTGGAATTGCACAATGTATGTTGACAGTAAGAGTTAGTCAGCTGGTCTGTCCTGGAACATATCTGGCTTTCTCTTCAGTCACATTTTTTTAAAGTAGGAGGAAGAACTGGGTCATGACTTTCACTCATTTCGCGAGACACATGGGATGCCTTTGTTCTTACCCCCTACAAAAAACAACTTAGAGTTTTGGCACTCCTGTCCTCCTTGTTAAATCTAAGCAGTCCCATGTGATTAGTCTCTTAGTCACGAGACATTTAGAGTTTGAATGTGATCATCAGTAGAAGGTCTTCTTGGGTCCAAAAAGAAAATGGAACAATTTTTTCAAACAACTTTCTATCATGATTCATCTTTAGAATTTGATTTCAAATAGTTGTGTTATAAGAACATACTGTCAAGCTGAGTGCAGGGGCACGTGCCTGTCACGTCCCAGCTACTCAGGAGAGAGTGGTGGGAGGATTGCCTAAGGCCAGGAGTTTGAAGCTGTAGTGCACCATGATCAAGCCCGCGAATAGCCAATGCACTCCAGCCTGGCCAACACAGCGTAGACCCTGTCTCTAAATCTAAACTAACTAAATAAATACAAATTTTAAAAAAGAATGTGCTATTTATTGTATTATATTATATTATTAATACATGGGCAAATAGAGATGGTTTCAAAATGCCTTCTCTGTCAGGAGAGTTTTTTCAGACAGCCAAAAGAACTGTTACAGCAGTTGTGTCTGCTTTGAGGGGCACCCTTCATGTGAGCTAGATGATTTTTTCCACTCTAGATGCCAAGGTGAAAATGAACTAAATGACGTCTGAGAGGACCTAGCCCATAAGGCCACCAATAGCCTTGTGAGTCTATGAATATGAAGCTTTTCCATTAAATTTCAATGTCAACTTTCATAGAACTTTAAAAGTAATAAAAGAAAACTCAATTTTGGCCAGGCGCAGTGGCTCATGCCTGTAATCCCAGCACTTTGGGAGGCCGAAGCGGGCAGATCACAAGGTCAGGAAATCGAGACCATCCTGGCCAACATGGTGAAACCCTGTCTCTACTAAAAATACAAAAATTAGCTGGATGTGGTGGCATGTGCCTGTAATCCCAGCTATTCTGGAGGCTGAGTCAGGAGAATCACTTGAATCCGGGAGTTAGAAGTTGCAGTGAGCCAAGATCGCGCCACTGCACTCCAGCCTGGTGGCAGAGCGAGACTCATCTCAAAAAAAAAAAAAAAAAGAAAAGAAAACTCAATTTTGATGTATGTGGTGGCTAGCATTGTAGTATGATGTCTTTTCTCCTATCACATGTGTTAGAGCACTATCCTATGTGCTAAGTGTTGGTAGAGCACCCAAAACAACAGAATGCTTTTTATACAATAACTTCACATTTTCACACTTATATACTGGGACTACTGAGTATATATTGATTGTGTAAAATTGAACCTGAGCTTTTTGTTCAGTGCTACTTTGCAATACTCAATGACAAAATAAAAACACAGTTGCAAACAGATAATTTATTATCCTGAAATCTTCCTTTTCTCCCTTTCCCCATCTTCCATCTTCCTATTTTATACCTCTGTGGCATGAACATTCTTCTCTCCCTCTTAAACCACTCCACACACTCTCATTTCTCTCTCCCTCTTTCTCTTTCTCTGTCTCTCTCGCTCACACACACACACGCACACATATGCACACGCACCTACATACCACCCCTAAGTAGAATTAATTTCTCTCCCTCTGTCCTTTCCATCCTCTGCCCACACTTCTGTATTGAACTTGGCATGTGGCCATCAGTCTTTCCCTCTGGACAGTAAACTACAAGAAGAGCCATGGATTATGCCTCATCTTTGTATGTCTTAACCAGTGCCTGGTACATTATATTGTTTAATAAGTGTTTGGCAAATAGATGAGTGATTGAGCAATTCATTAATCACTTAAGTGACAGAATACCCATGGGAAAAAACTGAATTTGTTTTGAAATGTAACTTGAAAATCTAACTTTTAAAAATCTAACTCTTTCTCAAAATTAAAAGCAACTAACTGAACTGAAACCTGGAAATAGCACCTCTTGGAAAATTAGCTTTTCATGAGAAGAAAACATTGCTGTATACAAGGTTTCAACATGTTGTGGAAACTGAATTTTAGTATTATGCTAAAATGTTACAATATAGACATAGGCAAAGAGCTCATAGTAAACATGCTAATAAGTTGTGAATCTTGAAGAGAAACAAGCTAAGATCAGTAACCTAACACCGCTCTGGGATTAACTTCTATTTTTCATCCAGCATCACTTTCCTACTCCTCTGCCTTTCCATATTGGGTCAACAATCTTGTCTTGATATAGAGGAAAAGTGTCAGATAGGCCTTATACTTGCAACAAAGCATCAGTCATTCTGTGATTATCCACTAGCAAATCACTATGCATAGTAATGTGTCCTTTTCCACATAGAGGGCAAGCTGAGTCAAGC